AATAATAATAATAATAATAATAATAATAATAATAATAATAATAATAATAATAATAATAATAATAATAATAATAATAATAATAATAATAATAATAAAGACTTGGCTCCCACCCTTACAATCCAGCACATAAGAGAAGTGAAAACTCACCAATAAACCTCCTCCAATGAGTCCCCCCATGTACATGACCTCTCCAGTGATGTGCTGTTTTTTCACATACTCTGTGCTGAGGTCGGGGAAGAACAGCACGATGTTGCAGATGATGGACAGAAGCACCATCGGGTACAGAGTATAGGCAATGATACGCGAGCATTTTCCAGTACACATGTTGTCACCGAGAAAACTAACCAACTGTGATTAAAGACTTTCTGTTCATCACGTTTTAGTGCACATCCTTCCTGTTTTTTGGGTTTTTTTGGTCTTCTTTTTTTGAGAGGAAAGACGTCCTACATGAAAAAAAAAATTGAAGCGTATTTGCATTGGTGGCTTCATTTTATTAAAAATAGGGAGCTGGTAGAGTAGTTTTGAGCCAAAACTGAACGTCTTTATCGAACATTCATCCCCTGTGAAAATCGCAGGTTTCTTAACGGTGGCGTCATAATGATGATGGTTCAGTGGTAGGGTCGCTCAAAGTATCCGCTGTGGGGAAAACAAAAGGCCTAACTAATTACACCTGAGCATAAAACCTCTACAAATTTGTGATCATTTATATAAAATCTACAGCCTTTATCTGTTTCAGTGATCTGTTAAACTCACATTTTGTTGATTTAGTTATCAAATTTTCACCAGCGGGAGGCTTCCTACTTTTGATACCAAAATAAATTGCTACAAAGACTCAACAAAGAGCAATAATAAAAACTACTACTCCGAAGTCTCAGCACCTCCTCATTTAGGACTGTTTTCTATCTGATTTTCTCCCCCACCAAAAATGGGCTACTCTTAAGCGAGAACACCCTGGGATGAAAACCAGATATGATTGTAGTCTGTTTTTTCATACTTGGGGAGATTTTCTGTGCTTTCTTGTAATCGGAATTCCAGATGTGTGGGAGGCTACAAGCAGGATTAGTACGTCACATGTTTTGGTCAACCCTCCAGTACACCCGCAGATAATGCCCTCTCCTACGAAGACACTGTTGTAGCTCAGCTATGAAATAAAAAATGTGAAATTTGTTTCAGAGCTTTTAGCAGAGCATGAGAAGTAGATGTCAGTTAAGTACTTTGCACACAACTGAATTCAGTTATGTTCAAACTGTGCAGTTCTCCAGAAACATCCCATAATAGCAAAGCAGTCGCACCACATGATGCTATCACCTCCAGATAATTTTGAATTCCAAGTATCCAAGTGTTACAATCCAAGTAGTACAATCATTTTTCTTCGAACGCGATGATGTTGATAGCGCCCCCATGTGTACTTGCAAACTGTCCCCTGTTGTTGTTGTTTTGTTTGTTGCAGTTTTTGCTTAAAGGCCTTTAAGGTTTTGTGAATACAGGACACTTTTTATCCTTTATATAGAGACTTTGGCAGCTCTTCCTGATCTTGCAAGTAGTCATTTAACTACAATTCCTTTACCAGTTACTGAGACGTACCTGTCACCAGAAATGTGTTCAAAGTTACTCACCCCTAAGCGATTTGCGCAGCACCCGTGCTCTCCAGTCAAGTGAATGGAAAGTGCTGACATGAAAACCTGTGGTGGTACACACAGAGTTAAACTACTCTGCATGCATCATCAACAAGAAACCAGTTCAACAGCACTTAAGTTAAGTTCAGCCACTCTAAGCCTTTAAATAGCACCAAATTTTCAGTAAGATTTGAAGAGCTTCTAGATTAAACAAATTCCAGGTTGTTGTTTGTTTTTGTTTTGTTTTTTTCTTTTAACCAACGCACAAAATCTGTACTTGGAGTAAACTATTCTGTAAAACCATTTATAGTCTGTTCAAATTGAGGTTTTACAATATATTTTATAGTTTACACCATCTATCAGACCATCTATTAGATGTAATAATAATAATAATAATAATAATAATAATAATAATAATAATAATAATAATAATAGATAATAATAATAATGATGATGATGATGATGATGATGATGATAATAATAATAATAATAATGATGATGATGATTGATGATGAATAATAAATGATGATGATGATATAATAATGATGATGATAATAATAATAATAATAATAATAATAATAATAATAATGATGATGATGATGATGATGATGATAATAATAATAATAATAATAATAATAATAATAATAATAATAATAATAATAATAATAATAGACACTGTGTAGCTCAGCTATGAAATAAAAAATGTGAAATTTGTTTCAGAGCTTTTCAGCAGAGCATGAGAAGTAGATGTCAGTTAAGTACTTTGCACACAACTGAATTCAGTTATGTTCAAACTGTGCAGTTCTCCAGAAACATCCCATAATTATAGTAACCTCTTTGCCATTACAACAAAGACTACAAAAGCTGGATAACTTTTTTTTTCCTCTTGAAAACTGTGGTTTTATCTCAGAGGTCAAACGTCTGGCTCTTTATCCTCTTTGGACTCCACTGTAAACACTGGGAAACCTTTGGACCACTCCCCCTGTTGCTGATGATCATTCCCGGCTAAGGCTGAGCCACCATGGCCACGTCAACCATCAAAGAGTTTCTTGTAACTTACTTAATGCCAGAAAAATGCTACTACGAGCTCTTCCTGAACTTTCACTTTCACGGTGAGGCTTCCGGCTGACACTTTCAACCGACCGGGTGAAATGGAAACTTAATTTTTCCAGATGCAGATGAGTGATAGCGGGGGCTGGGCGGAGGGTGCGTGGGGACGAGGGAAAGTAAAGATGTTGGTTTTTTGGGGGGTTTTTTGCCTTTTGCCACCTACAGTGCAAACTTATTTGGAGAGCTGACGTTAAGGTACATCTTCATTGTCTGAGAGTTTTCTTTTGTGTTACAGTGCCATGCCTAAAGTTCGTACTAAACAAAACTGCCGGATTCTGGATCATACTGGACACATTCCTGGGTAAGACGCTGTGATTTAATCATGTGTTTCAAAACAGATCACAGCATACTGTATCAATGACAAACGAGGTTCATTAACAGGGAAGTTTCACATTTAAGAAACAAAACAAGAAAAGACATACTAACGCAATCGCATTTTCCCTCCCTCTAACCTCCCTTTACACGATAATCATGATGGATAATAATCAAATCATCATAACATTTTGTAAGACTCCCTCATTGCTGGTGCAGATAACATCTGGCCAAGCGGTTAAGCCACCACATTAGCATGTCGTCTTCATGCAAAATGCAGAAACAAATGACGGCGGGAAACGGATTCATGCCACAGCACAATGCACATGAATATTTGCGTATTTATGTGGTTATTACCATGTGGCTTTTTTTAAGGGGACGGTTCCAAAAATTCTAAATTTGTCACAGGCAGCTCTCAGTACAGATGAGCCAATCAGAATTGCAGGACATTTTCAGTCCCACCCATGAATTTAGAAATAATCCATGCATAAAATTCTTAAGCATAAAACACTGCTCTGATGCAAAATGTAAATCTAGCTGAACAAATGGTTCCAGTATGCTATTTAAAATGCATATGCCTCTTGCAAACCAAAATTGCATCTTTATCTACTCTCCCAACTTTTTAAAACTAATTCACATGTTTAATATAAGCCAAAATAAGTTGAGTAAATCCACTTTTTTCTTTGCTTGCTTGTTTTTTGTTTTGATTTTGTTGACATAGGTCCATTTTAGTTAATATAATAATAATTGTGTCCCAGAATGCATGCTTACTGTAACCTCTTTAGTCTGGGAAATGAAGAGTATAAATAGACATGATCAAGCCCACGTACAAACACCATGGGTACACCAAAGTTCAGTGCCAGTATTTGTCTAGTCTTTTGTGACCACACTGAGTGTGTCCTTTTGACCAATACAACCCTGTTACTCATATTACCAAAAAAGACCAAATATTTTCAGTTTCCCTCCTTTATTTATAGAACTACATTTATCCTTGACTTTCACAGGTCATTCCACTTGTGTGGTCCTGGGGATTTTTAAGATTTTAGACTTTCAGGTTTTAATATTCTCTTTGATTCCTAGTTTGTTTAATGTTCATGTTTGGTTTGTGTGTTTTCAGCACATTTAGTCTAAAAACTCTTCCCCTCGATTAGTTATCTCACCTAGTTAGTTGTTCCTTATGTTTTGTTTTTAGTTTTGCCTTCCTTGTCTCCTCCTGTGTGATCTGGATTAGTTGTGTCCCCCCCCCACGTGTCTCCTCTCTGCCTCAATCACACACAGACAGGTGATTGTCCTTTATCAGAGTTTCTGTTCACTTCCCCCCAGTGTGTGTGTTCAAGCTTTATGATTCACTAGTGTATCGTTTTGAGTTTCCCCATTTTGACTTCGTGTTTTGCTTTTATGACGACCTGCAAACAGTTGATAAGCGGCTCGTTTTTTTCTTTATCTCAGTTTACCTCTCTGCGTCTGCATTTTGGCCCAATTTTAGAATGACGCTGACTGACTCAGATGTTTGACTTGCAATGAGTGCTTTCTGTCTTTTTCATGTTGGTCCAGATATGGACCATTAATTTCTCCTCTAACGACCAAATGTCACCTGATTCCCTGTTGTTTCCATGCAGCACAACTGCCTCAGTTGATAAAGATGTTATGGGGAGGAAGTGCAGAGGGTCTGAGTCTTAGCGCCTTCTTCTTGCAGCTTTATGCTTTCTCGTGTCCTGTTGTGTACGCTATGGCCAACAACTTCCCACTCTTGTAAGTAAGCTGATGCGCAGATCACACCGTTCGTAGGATTTCCCATTCATGCCATGCTTTACACCACTCAAGTTCAAATTCTCAGTCTGTTCATCATGCATGACTCACTTGCTCAAGCCCTGCATAGGCACACCCCAAATCCTCTCAACTTAAACACAGTGGGTGACTTAATTTTTTTACCTTTTCTTTCTGTGCTACCTTAAATGTATTTCACTTGAACTGTTCAACAGTGCCTGGGCTGATAGGCTCTTCATGCTTGCCCAGACAGTGGCGATCGTCTTCCTCATCCTCCATTATCGCGGTGATACGGTCCGAGGTGAGCACATGCATCTGCAGATTTTGCAGAGGCAGAGTACAAAGAGCAGTCCAACATGACATACTTTCACCGAGGCAGGCAGGTCCCTCCACACTAATACAAATAATTAAGCGGTGACAGTGACAGTTAAGACAGTTAAGACAGTGTCCCCCAGTTTTTACGTTTTCAATTTGATACTGATTTTTGGAGATTTAACACACAGTTGCTTTTTTTTGGCCCTATTTCTCAGGGGTAAAGGATTAATTAAAACAATGCCCGGATCTGGATTGACTCCAGGAGTTAATCAGTGTTGGGCTAAGGAGGAGTATTTACAGCAGCGGGTTAAGGCATGATATTTATGACTTGAATGTGAAACTATTGGAAATCTCCAGCACTTGGCTGCTTCTTCACAGAAATGAACTTTGAGTGACACTTTAAGGAATCAGCTGCGGTCATGCAGGGTCTGAATTGCATTAAAGAACCTCTGTGTTTTTTGTGGTCATGCAGAATCAGCCAGATTCTCTAAGTGTTATATTTGGAGCTGTTATATCTGAACATGGAAAAAACAACACAGTGATGTAGTGATTGTAGGGTTTGAACAAAGTCCCTCAAGGACAGGGTGGCTGTGCTTTCAAATAGCGCCACCTTGTGGTGTTGCTGTATTCTTCATATATAATTGTGGTTTCTGTTTCAGGAGTTCTGCTCCTCTTTGCTCTCTGTGGTGTAATGCTCCTCCTGCGCTCCTATGCAGCAGCAGCAGTCATCTCAGTGATACAGGCCTCCAGTTTGGCGGCTTTCATTGCAAGCAAGGTAGCAACTTATCAACTTGCCTCATTTATGAGCTGTTCTATGATAAATGTGATCACTGAACTGTAATTTTTCTTTTTTAAGTGCACGGTGAACACATTTAGTGGATTTGTTATTTACAGGTTCTCCAGGCTACAACAAACTATCACAACGGCCACACGGGTCAACTATCCACTCTGTCAGTGTTGCTTTCATTTGCAGGCTGTCTGGGTGTGGCCTTTGTTTCTTTACAGGTATGCAGTTAAGAATTACTAGCAGACATATGTGCACAACCGCATAGTTGTGGTTATACTAACTGGAACAACTTGAAACTTTTTTTTATAGGAAAATGGAAACTCTCCTGTGAGTTTGTCACACATACTGTCAGCCTGTCTCAGCTGTGTCCTTCTGGCTCAGATCCTCTGCTACAAGGCCGGCGCTGTCAGCACTACAAAGAAGACAGTGTAGAGCACGGTGATGATGCTGCCTGTTATTATATTGTGCCTGAGGTTGGCCTGTCAAGTACCGAGCCAAAGTAGCAGTAAATGTTTACAGATTTTTCCTTTTTAATATGTCCAAATGCCACTGTCACGTGTTTTGTGTGAAATATTATGTCTGTTTTAGGTTATTGTGACCTAAGGGGATAAAAAAATACTTTGTTGACCACCAGGGATTCAAATAAAATGACTTTATTCTCACAGAAACAATTTTCACTGTCTGCGGCTATGACAAAATATTTTTAAGTAATCTGGCAGCTCTGTGTCTTTCTGTTGAGCCATTTCAAATTTGCATCAACATCAAACTAAAGTTTACCAGATTAAACTCGCTGAGTAAACCGCAAACCATTTCAAAGTGGGCTGAAGAGAACAAATACAGAAGCTTTTGCTGGAATATCACTTATTAGTCCCTACTTTGAGATTACAGGAATATTCATATGGTCATACTTTTATTCTTTTACTTTTATGTTTTACAAAATAGAAAAACATTACTTTTGTGATAGATTTTGCTCTTCCTGTTGGTATCACATATTGATCATATTTTCATTATTTTGTGTTGTAATTTGAGCGTCTCCAAAAATTTGTACCCTTTACCCGAGGCACTCGCACAGTAAGCTCACAGTCAGAGTGCTTAAGTTCATATCTGCAGGATATTTACAGTGTTCAGTAATCTAACTTGACCTTCAGGTATTTTTAGCCACCAGTGTTTGTTTTTGTTCAGGTAGTTATTTCCTAACTTTACTATTTTACAACAGAACACAAAAACCTATTATATAAACAATTTAATAACTATAATTTATGAGGTT